TTATAATAACAGATTATATAGGACTTTGCTTACCACATTCACAGGTAATTTGGTTTCACAAATTGTTGTTTCCTGTTCAACTCTGCCCATTGAAAAGGGTGTTTCAGACACAGTAATGGTTTATTATAAAGAAATCCTGTCAACATTAAGGGGATTTTCCATTATAGCTAAACAGAACAAAGACAGATCACCTGTGAGATAAATTAAAACTGGCTCTTGACCTGCATTGTGTCCTGTTGTTTTTAGGACATTTAAACTATCGATTTACTGAAATGTATGCTAACTTGAAATATATTTACAGATATTACCCTCTTGTGAGGTAATGGCCAATTTTAAAATGAACACCTATTTGTTTAAGAAAACTGTACAATTCTCGGAAATAAATATGATGAGTGCACCTTGAAAATCCTGAACAAACAGAAAATATGCAAGATAAAATAACATGCACTAGCTATTAGTTTATAGACACACATTTCCACTGATTATTCTCTGGCATAATGTTAGTAATCAACATTGAAAATATCAACTACCCAACAAATGATATAGAGCTTTGTACAAAGACTGCTACAGATTGGTATCCATGACCTCTGGTACAAGAACAAAGGGAATTCCTAATACTTAGTTTGATCCTTTGTTTCTTTTCCCAAGTTTCCTTATTTCTAAGCTCCTACATTCAATGAATATACTTCTTTATCTTCTCTCCACACTACTTCCATTGTTTACTTTCCAATACTATGCTGAAATTCTCAACATTCTTTATCTCCTTGAATATAATATACATTAAATAAAATCTGTCTCACAATCCAAATATTTGGTGCCATTTTGGGTGTTTCTATTGTATTGTTTCTGCCAGTTTTCATGCTTGCTTTCTTTCTCCTCTTGTTCTGTTATTATAGGAAGATATTGTATTAGAAAAGCTGTTTGTAGAAATAATGAGGCCTAGAAAAACATTCTTTTTCAAGATTTGCACCTTTCAGATCCCTGATGCACATTAATCCACATTGAAAATTTCACATTTTTCTGTGCTATCTGGCTGACTCAAGTCTAAGCTATATTCTTTGTGAATGGTTTACTTTGGTTCACCCTTAGCCCAAGGATGTGGTCCTTCAGGGTCTCAAACCAAGTTGTTCTACCAGAGTCTCAGCCTTGGTGGTCCTATATTCTCACCTTCGTCTTCCCTAGGTGGTCCTGTATTCTCAGAAGGCTGTTCAATGCCATTGATTCTCTCAGCTTCCTCTCTTAGTTAACAGAACCCCTCTTTAGAGCAAAAGCAGGCCCAACACTAGGCTCACTGTTCTGGATTTGTCTTTTCTTTCAGATATCAGTCTGCCAATTAGTCACTATCTTGTTAGCTCTCTAATGCCTCTAAGTTGATATTTCCAAATATGGCATCTAGACCATCATTTAAGGAAAAGGTCAAAAGTTTTTTTCCCCCCCTTTGTTTGCTTTTGTTTTTAAAGGTGCCTTGTAGCTTTCTGGCCAGTCTGGTTTTGAATCACCATTAGGGCCCCTTCTTAAGTCTGATGGGCTCAACTTGTAAGAGGGTACAACCTGTAAGAGCATCCTGACTTCTTCCACAGCTGGGGAGTGTGGTGCTGGAGACAATCTGACTCAGGGTAGGAAGGGAACCTAAATACCCAGTGTAGTTCCAAATATTCTCTGGTTGCCAACTTTAGTTGTATAAAAATGGACAAAATTCCTCCCAGCCTCTTAAGTAAACTGTCAAAACAAAAGTCAGGATTCATTTTGCCCTTTATGCAGCTGAAGAGGAAGGAAGCAGACATTCATTATTTTGCCAGATAACTTTATATCTCATCCTCTAGCCCCAAAGCCAAGTCTCAACTGGTTTAATTATCACAAATGAAAGTGAACTCTTCTGAATTTATCATTACTATATTTGTTGTTGGAAAACAGATTTCTAAAGCCTAAAAAGTAATTGTAAAGGTTGAGTTTTGCCACCGGTATTACAAGTTCTTAATCACAAGCTGGACCAAGCTGGTGTCATAAACTCAAGGCCTCGGAATAAAACATTTAACAGAAATTAGTGCAGTATGCCGGACGATGTTCACCAAGTGAAGAGAAATTAGAAGTGAGAGGACTGTGAAAAACTGTAGGGACCCAGTACAGTTTCCAGTTCCTGTCCATGTTAACCTGCAAGCATGTAAACCTGGAGTCACCAGATCTTACAATTTTTCAAAAGAATCTGAAATGTGGATGTTTTATAGTCTCTCTTTTCATGTTAACAATTAAAACAAAAACCCACACTGGGTGGGGTCAGATGAAAGGCCTAAGCAAAGATCAGTTGCTACACTAAATGACACCAATGCCCCTTCCAGCTCTACTGGTAAATCCCACCACCTTCATTATCAGTGCTATTCACGAGGAAGAGAAAACTTGTTGAAAGTCTGTTGAAGATCCTAACAAAGTGCTTACAGCATAAATATATTTAATTTACAAATGAAAGTTTCACCTGGACTGCTGATCCAAAGAAATACTTTCCAAGTGGCTAAACATCACAGGAGCTTTCAGGACGTTTTTTGTTATTCAGACCTAGAATTACAATGATAATCAAAGTACAGCTTGCTCATTTATACAGCTATTTGGGATACATATTGCTGCATTACACATCTGAATAATGTGTATAAGGTCATAAGTCGACAACAAAATGAGTGATTCCCATTTACATATATGTATCACAGCTAAAATATGCTAGATTTGTGAATGTTTATATCAACACAATTTTCATTAAAAAATATTCTGAGGATTCATGTTTCAATTAAAACATTAAAGCATCAAATTTATAATCATTACACACTGATTTATTTATATTTTTAAGGATGGTTACTTTCTTTTGTCTTCAGTTTTCCTAAACTGGCTGATGTATGATTTTTTTGCTGATTAAGTCTATATATCACTAAGCAAGCACTAAGGTAAAACTTCATTTCTTTTGTTCAAAAATTAAAAAGGTAAAAAAAAAATGAGGTCCTATTTGAATTTATCAACTTGGATTTCCCATCAACTCAATTCATTTCTAAAGAATGTTACACTTCCATTTTAAATTCAATGGCAGTTCCTTTACATATTTTAAACAACAAATCAAATTATCTTCTAACTGTAACCTTTTAAAAATGCAAAAGATCAAAATCACAAGCTACATATTAAACCTCAGACTTAGGTACAAACTATTATATAATACCAATCCATTACTGAATTTCCATGACTACTAGTAACTCTACCCTATTAAGGTAGATTATTTTCATTACTATTGAATTTTGGCATATTATCACTTTATTTGGGATTTCTGCATTTTATATTGAAATGTATATTTAACCCATTGTTTTTTGTGATTAAATAATTTAAACGAGTTTATAAAATGAGTTGGGAAGCATTCCAAACTTTAGGTTTGTTTCATGGAAATTTTCAAGAATTCATGGATAAACTGTATTGCTCTGGACCCTTATGGGAGATGTTTTATAAATTTAATTGATGAGTTAAATATAATCAGCTTAGGGACAGCAATGACATTTGAAATGAATCCCAAATATTTTAATTATGTAGCACTTTAAAAGCACTTTCACGTGTACTAGCTCATTTAATCCTTACAACTTTATGAGATTATTTTGTTTTATGAAAGCCAAAAATCAAGGCTAGTAACTCGAACTGCTCAAAGTTTAATAAGTTAGAAAGTGATTGCCAAGATTATGAGATATCATTTTACTTAGAACTTGGTAAGGTTGCGCTCTATGCATCATTTTTTCCATTAAGGACTAACGGAATGTAACAGGCAGGTTGGAACAGACAGGACGAAGGGTAGAGAACAGTAGTCCAAGCTTTGGAAACAACTTAAGTAAAAGAATGAAGTACATTACAAAGCACCCTGGGTAACTGAAGTAGTGGGTTAAAGATGGAACACAGCACACCTTGCAGAGAAAACTCTAATAATAAAATACTGTTCCCTTCAGTTCAGCAATCACTTGTGACAATTGTCCCTAAGCTTCTAACTGAGGCTTCAATCAATGTAACTGTGACCTTTGTCTTGAAAGAAAGAGAGCGAGGGAGGGACTGAGAAAGGGAGAGGAGGAAGGAAAACCAATAATTATTTGTCATGTGACTAGAGTACTAAATGGGGTATTTTATTTTTTTAATTTTTTTAAATATATTTTATTGATTTTTTACAGAGAGGAGGGGAGAGGGATAGAGAGTTAGAAATGTTGATGAGAGAGAAGCATGGATCAGCTGCCTCTTGCACACCCCCTACTGGGGATGTGCCCGCAACCAAGGTACATGCCCTTGACCGGAATCGAACCTGGGACCCTTGGGTCCGAAGGCCGACGCTCTATCTGCTGAGCCAAACCGGCTAGGGCTAACTGGGGTATTTTAAATATTCACAGTAGCAGGTTATATAAAGTGAGAAGTATAAGCATGATTTTTTTTTTTTTGCTCACTAAAAATGTTTTGAATTAACCTTAATTCTCAGTGAGATTAACAACTTTAACAACTGACAACTGATTTGGGAACATAGCAGACATAGTCCTAATCTTAGAGCAAATAATACTAACTGAAATATGTGAACATTACTGGTAAGTACTAGCACTTAATTGCATATAATTCATCCATTATGCTATTAATCATGTTAATTTTAGAAAGGTCACTCAACTTCCCTGGGACTGAGTTTCCTATATTTGCAAAATAATGTGTATGTTTTAAAGGAGTTTGAATAGGACTCTGAAAATTCTACTAGCATGTTAACAAAAACATTTTAAAAAGGAAAAGTATTAACAAAATATCTATATATTCATAAGCATTTGAATTAGTAACCTTATATTACCTTTATAATCACTTGCAATACCAGGATTGAAGAAAGCTTAATCAATCTCATCACTTAGTCATATATAAAGTTACTTTTACATCAACATACTATATCTAAAATTAAATCTTTCACCATGTGTTTTGAGCAGAATGAGAGGATTATGTTAATCACAGGTTAACATAAGAAATGCTTGTCTCAAAATCAGTGCATTTAATATGTGGCAGACACAAGTCTTGTCATTAAAATTCTTTTTATTGTTGCTTCAGTAAAATCTAAGGGTTCCCAAAGTCCTGAGTCAAATGTTTCTTCTTATTTTTCCAACAGCGGTGATTTGTCTTCTTGTGGTCTGTTCAATAGAAAGTGAACTATCTGTAGTAGAACATCATCGTTAAAACCTTTCACATCATTATCTTCTATTGTCTCATAAAGAGGCTTACTTTGCGTCCCCCAACATATATTTTTACGACTGTTATTCTGATCAGCTTGTGCAGTCAGTGCCAAAGTATTTAACTGGTAGCAGAAAAAAGAAAAGTATCTTCCATCTGTGATCACGGCCTGAGAGACAAAAGGTCGAGTGACATCTGCTTCGCTCCAGAATCCTAGAGAAGAAAGTTATACTGAAATTTACACTAACATATATTTAGCCCAAACAAAATAGATGTATTAAAAGGGTATCGAATATCTGCTAAAACCTAGATATTTTACCTGCCAATTTCCTAAAGATCTCATCAAAAATTATTTCATCACATCTAGTATCCCTAACTCACGATACATCTTTTCAACAACTTCTGTCAACTGCTTTCAACCTTAATTCACTTCTTGTAAGAGCAGCTCTGTATCTGTGCAGATTTCCCTGCATCTGGTATTAACTACATCATTGCTCACCATACCGGTAACATCTATCATCCAATAACCATGAAGGCCATTTATTTCATCACATCTACAAAAAAATATATATCTTAAAAAAAACAACCTTTATAAGGACTTCAACCAGGTCCTCATACAAATTCTGTGTCTTCCTTTATGTATCTCAAAATTGGTTTTATGAGTTGCTGTCATTTCACTTAATGAGTCTTATGTGATAAGGAGCCAGGCTGCCTTAAACTGAACTACTCAATTTTCCAACTGCTTCTTATCCAGGCTCACTGGCTTTAATACTTTAAAACCCTAATGCCAGGACCAGGCACAGCTATTTCCCCATACTTATTTTATACCAGCTGCAATGGAGATGGTCAATAACTAATGTTGCTAAAATATGGAATTATACTGCAAAAAGTACTTATCTTTCATGAATAAATAGATCTTCAACACAGATTCCTCTCCCATTTCTATTATAGAAACGCAAGTCAACAATTGTGAATATAAGGTTAAAATATATACAAAAGGAAAAAGGTGGGTTTGGCAATAATTAAATCTGTATTAAAATTCCTCCTGGGTACTAATATAGGATTAAACTCATTATATATTATATCACTTCAGGTTTTAAAATGAAATCCAAATGCCTCAAATGGGCTCTAGAAGTCCTATGTGAAATGGCCTCTGGCTCCTCCTCTCTTCATCAGCCTTCATGGTCCTCAAACACCTCGAGTCTGTTCCGCCTCCGATATGACTTGCCATTCTGTCTGCCTCAAAGTGTCTTTCCCAGAGCTTACACTTGGGCAGCAGCCCCTCACCATCCAGTTTCTGTTCAGTCATTCTTCTCGAGTCCTCCTCTGAATTATTATGTTTACAGAGATTCTGCCCCACATCTCATTTAAACCTGTGCCTCATAAATCATTCTAGCCCTTATCTAGTAATGTTCTTTGCAGTATTACCACTACCTAAAAACCTTACCTGTTTATTCTCCTTTATTCTCCTCACTATAAGCTCCAGAAGAGTAGGATCTGCCTGTCTTATCCAGTACTTTATCCCCAAGGCCAACAGTGCTTGATACATAAAAAACATTCTCTATTTACTGAATGAACAATCCCCTGATCCACATCCTAGATATGGCCTTCAAATAAACGATAAAGAATAGCTAGGACTTAACCTAACACTTAATCCACCACAGCATTTCCTTCCCTAGCTTCAGAAAGCTGCTGTCATCTACAGAGCTGACTAGTGGGCTCTATAGTCTTTGAAATGCTCAACAACACCATCAGAAAAAATACAGTCACACAAAGTGGTAAACATAACAGATCACGTCACTACCCAAGTGCCATTTGACAACTGCACATGTAAAATATTTAATTAGGGGTTTTAAAACAAATATGCTTTGTGGTAATGCAAGTTTTCGAAATGTTAAGACTCAACCAAGGAAATGAATTACTAAATTTTTTAAATGTCAGATATCTTCCAACAATGCCATCATTTTACCTTGATACATAGCTTGTGCTCCAGTCCAAGCAAAAAGGCTTGCGATAGCATTAGCTCTATAAACAGCTTCTATCTGATCAGCACAGTTTTGCCTCAGGAGTCTTTCCCTATTTAATTTTTCTGATAACAGGTGAAACTGGGTATGACCATAACAGTACGGATCCGCTGTCTTTGAGCCTGAAGAGCAAAAGAGAAACATGTGACATGAAATGACATGTAGAACACCTGGAGCACATGTGCTCAGTATTTCTCTAAACCCACCCCTCCTCTACCTATCACGTGATCAGTATTCAACACACACACGTGGGAAGGTTAGTTTATGTATTTATTGTAATAAAGTTACATTTCACACGGAAGTAGTCTGCTAGCTGTCACCAAGTCGCTCACTATAAATAGGATAAGTAAAAAAATTATATATAAAATGGATTAAAAATTCTTATTATTTCAGTTTTTCAAACACATTAGTCATAACTAAGGAGCTTAATCATTGTTCTTATCATATTCAGAAAAGGAGATAAATACTTCATGACTTTAAAAACTTACTTTATTTAATTTTATTTTATTATTACTTTCTAAGCCTCACCTGAGGATATTTTTTTTTCCCATTGATTTTTAGAGAGAGGAAAAGGGGAGAGAGAGAAACATCAATGTGAGAGAAAACCATCGATGGGCTGCCTCCCACACCTTCCCTGACCAGGGATCAAACCTGAAATCCCAGTATGTCCCCTGTCTGGGAACGGAACCTGCAACCTTTTCATGTCCCGAATGACACTACAACCAACTGAGCCCCCTGGCCAGGGCAAAAACTTACTTTATTATTTTAATATAATAATTACATAGCTTGTTCCTAATTTTAAAAATATAACTGGTTCTTATACTACATTTTAAATAAAGAAAACCTTTTTACCCTACCATGCCCTTTACCAATATTTTATAAAATATTTTTAGTGGTAAAGTCAAAAGTCCCCCTTATTCATTCTCTAAGACTTAGTGACAGAGAAGGGGCTGATAAAATAGGTCTGGAGGATTAGTTTAAGCAGCTTTCTTAAAATGTTCCGCAGGAAAAAAACCAGCAAAAAAATAAACTGCATAAGGGCAGATGTCAGACCTTATTCATTTTTATGTTCCTGGTGGTTTTCACACTGTGAAACAAACAGCAGACTTTTGTAAAAAAGCCATTCACTGCCTCAAGCCCAGTTCTACACTTTTTACTTTTGATTTTTTTTTTTTAAAAAAAAAAAAAAAAAAAAAAACACAAATTACTTTTCCTATAAAATACATCAACAAAACCCTATAACTATCACTATATTTTAAAGTTAAGTATTGCTAATTCAGTGGAAACAAGTAAAATTTTAAATGGTGAGCTGAAAGAATATTTTCTTCCCAATTTTCAGGCATATCGCAAGAACCTGAGACTATGAATTACATTGTTGATAGACTATCTATCAACAAGAATTATGCAAATTTCTACAAGACACCTAGGACACATTTATGGCACAATACATCAGAAGAGAAACTTACCAATAAATATGGCATTTTCATATTGTCGTTTGAATAATGGAAGTTTGTCTGGCTTACAATTCATAACAGGAATTTCTATAGGTACAGAATAATCCAGCGGCACAAACTTAAAAGAAAAAGTCATAAGTGATTCACAGTAACACGAGTATATTTTACTCATATTCATTATAGACTTAAAATCTTAAAATGAGATGATTTGCAAAATGATGGGCCAAATCCAACCAGCCACCTGTTCTTACAAATAAAGTTTTATCGGAACACAGCCATGTACATTCATTTTCATATGGTACATGGCTATAAGAACAGAGATGAACAGTTCTAACTGAGACTTATGGCCCCCAAAGCCTAAAATATTTACTATCTGTATTTTTAAAGGAAAATATGTACCCACCTGATATGAACACATAGACAACACTAAAATATGCTTATTTTCTCCAAAAGAACTGTAAGTACATAAAATGATGTTTATAACTGTAATAAATGCCTTGATTTGTGATTAGGTAGTGTAGGTACTGTAAATTGTAATCATAAACTATTATCCATCTTTCATATTTTTATATTAAGAAAAAAATAAAGACTGGTATGTTCCTGAACAGTGATGCCTTAACCTCACTTAAAATGATTATCTGACCTTTGGGGAATACATATACTACAGCAGGTTAAAAAGCTGAAAAAGAATTATAGAGATGTATTTGAGTGAATCTCAAAAGGCGTAGGATCCATCAAAACCTTTTTACCCTACCACGCCCTTTACCTAGCCTGCCTATGACATTTCCACATCCGACAGCAACAGGTACACATGCAGTAAATCCTCACCTCTGGCAGCTGTTTGGACATTCGAATCTGGTTGTGTGGTGTATCATTTATTTGGTATCTCACAGCATCAACTCGACCTTTCCGATGACCATGAGCAATGATTTCTTCACCACGCCACCAGTAAAAGTGAACCGGGCGTTTACAATCTACCAAAAGATATTCAAAACTTTCTTACCACTTAGATACATTTGGTTATTATTAGAATACTAAACTCAGCAATACAGAACTCAAAAATAATTGTGATAACTAAAAACACATATATCAAAATGACTCTTTAAGACGGTCTGGATTATGCAGTAATTTAACTTAAATGATCATGACTTAAACATAAGGCTCAACTAAGTGTTGTCTACTTGTGCCATCACTGCACGAAACACTGTAACTAAAGAGCTTTCTCAATTACAAGAACAGGAGTAGCACACATCAGAAAGCTTAACAGGAGTCAGAGCTGTCTTGTGAATGACTAATTCAATCTTCACGGTAACGCTGACAGGTGTGCACAGCTGTTATCATCAGTTTTACAGAAGAGGACCCTGAGTCTTGAGGTTAAGTTTTCCTAGGCCATCAGTCAGGAGTCCAAGTCCATGAAGCCCCCAACACCACTCCTTTCCCTGCTGAGAGGGGAGGTAAGGCACTCTACAAGGTTCAGGGAGCACACACCTCCAGGGATAGCATCAGCTCAATCAACATTCACTAAGATGCCTACTGTGTGTGGTACACACAAAACGAGGGACACGTCAGAAACACTAATTTTTAAAACTGTCTCCCGGTTAACTGCTTCTCACGTCTGCACGGAGAAGTTGCTGACTGTTCACCGGAAACCCAGAAGGGCTGGGTGTGACTCCTGATCACCAAATCCAGCCTGTCAGCTACAGGCTCTTCTGAGTGGGCACATTTCACATCTCTGCGCCTGCTTTAGCTCTGATTTCTAACACCATGCTACCTACTGTACACAGCTATTGTGAGGATGAATTAGTTGGCACATATCCCATGCAGAACAGGGCCAGGCACACAATTAAGTACTGAATAAAACGTTCACGTTAGGTATTTCAACCAATACTGCCTTTCGTCTGTTCAACCCCAGGACAAAGTACTCTGGCCCTAATTCTCATTTTGAAAACGAGAAAGGTCAACGCTAAAAGTGGTGCCTAGGTGACATATGATCGGGTAACGTTTTGGTGGGCGAGCGGAAAGGAACCCCTTGGCTGAGCCAGCACAGCTCTCCCACTGGGTGGGCCGGTCACCAGGCGGGTCCCTCACCCGGCCCAGCAAGCACGAGTCCCGTGGACCCGGAGCGCCCAGCCCAGGGCTGGACCATCAGGTGGCAGCGCCCAGTCTGCACGTTCCCAGCGCAGTGACCGCTGCTGCACCGCGCTGTCCCCAGCTGAGGTCCAAGGACTGGGAAAACGGACAGAGGAATGAAGAGGGGGCACATCGGAGGCGGCGTGGCCCCTGACA